GGGAGTGTAGGCACCACCCGTACGTGGATGGGACTTATTTCAGCTGTTATTATTTTTTTTAGGGAGGGAGGGGTAGGTATGGGATATGCGGTTCGGAGACGCCGGATGAGAATGCGCATGGGGTTGTGAGGGAGGGGAGGAGGGAGTTTAAGGAGGGTTTTGAAGGGGATGGGTGCGAGGATGGGGTGGGGATGAGTATTTGTACGCGCGCTCCGTTATGCTCTCTTACAGCAGGACTCAATATACCGCTGTCTTCCCCCTTCATTACTAGTAAATCCCGATATGTAAAAGGTAAATAAATGAACGGTAGATTGAATGAAGTGAAGATGGATTTGATTGCTGAGAGTAGAGGTCTATCTATCTATATAAAAATAAAAACGGCTAAAAACTACTTAAATAAAAATATCAAAAAAATCTATTCCTAAAGTCTCAAAACACACTTTCCTCCTACATCTCCTCCCCTTCATCAAAAAAGAAGTGAAAATATCGCAGCTATTCGCGTACATATATTCGAATCGAAACTGGGAAGCCCCCATCGCTGGTGTACCCCGTGATGGGTGATTCTTCTCCGATCCAGTCCAACTCGACAGATACGATAACAAAAAACTAAATGTCAAAAAAATTAACGATAGTGTCAAGAAAACTCGTGGTGCATCGTTGTCGGTCGTTTGAGGTGCGTCGTGGGTGTATTAGTACACGCGCCCGGCGGCGCGGTTGGGTGTGTCTTGTCTGTCTGTCTGTCTCTCTCTCAGTCTCTACCACCTCATTCTGCCTCAGTGACTGTGTATCCTCCTCTCTGTCCTGACATCCAATCTCCCTCCTTGGAGCTCTGGCTAGCGAGTGTATGCCAGCGGGCGTGTCTCTGCCCGCATATCTTCAGCGAATTGGCTAGCGAATGTCCGTATCTCATATGAGAAAATCCCTCCTTACATCTCGTCCACCTCTTTAAAAAAGCGAGTGTCCTTTCCCTCATCCTTCCTAACCCCTTGATCAAAATAACGACTTCCCACTTTCTATCTCGAATCGCTCCCCCGACTATTCCCGCTCCCCCCCCTCCCAGCTCCATCATACTCATAGAAACTATAATCGCGACTCCCCTGCCTCGAGCCCCCCTGCGTCGCCTTGCCCCTCTCGACAATATGGCGCATGCTCGGTCCACCCCAGGGGAGACCAGAGAGATCGGACTCGAGACCGAGGTCGTCCGGGTCGGGGCTGGTGTAGGAGTAGCCCGCGTGGAGCTGGTTCTCTGCGTCGCGGTCGCGGGATTCCTTTTGGTCTTTTGCTTTTTCGCCTGTGGAAACGTAACAGTCAGTTCTCATTGCCTCTCGCTTAGAAATGATAAAAATGTAAAGAAATATTGGGACATACGAAACTTCCTCTGCGCCAACCGATTCTGAATCCTCCTCCTCTCATCCGGCTCATTCACACCACTCCAATCATCCTTTTGCGCCTTCTTCCCCCCCGTCTTCACGCTACTGCTAGCCTTCGAATTCCCCTTCGAGCTCGCGCTCTTCCCGCTCGATCCCCCCTCACGCTTCTCTCTACGATCAGACATTTCCGTCTCGGTGCTAGATCCCGATGAAGAGGACTCGGACGGCGATGGCGGCGAACAGGTCGGCGACTTGATGACAATGAGTGGTGGGCTGGTGGCTTGCTGCTGCTGCTGCTG